GTTCAAACTTGAGTGTGACATCAATTTTCCCTATTAGTCAAATGTGAAGATTGGTGATATACTTTTTGATGTGGATGATAGTCATAAGTTCCTAATTCCTCCTGTGAATTTTCAATCCACAAATTTGTGGTTGTGCCATGATTTTTCTTTTATATTGATGATTATAAGTTGATATTAATTCTAACTATTAGTATTATATGAGCATAGCTACAATGGGAATAATGGAATTGTACAAGGAATGGACAAAGGTGGTTTAGGTTGAAGGTTGATGTAGCAAGGATAATCATTGATTTATCTATAGAAAAAGACATATACTACTCAAATGGAAGGAGTTATAAGAGTTATCTCTTACAACTCTACATCATTTTCTTTTGATCACCACAACTTCCTAAGTCCCCATATTGATGCCAGATTTTGTGTGAAAGAATTCAAAGTCAATGTATGTTCTCTTTCTTTGTATTTAATTTAAAAACATGTTTCACTGTTGCACCTTGAATTTTAAGATAGAACAACAATAATGAGCAGTACATCACAAATTGTTGTTCATCACTATTGCACCTTGAAAAAATAGAATGTGACAAGACAAGATTATGAGTGATATTGTCCGAGTTTGATGATTCTTTGTGAGTTTATGGGTTTAGTTATTTTGTTTGCTTAAAAGTTTTAAGATGATTGGCCAATCCCAAATAGTTTGGCTAAAGCTTTGTGTAGTTGTATCAGTTTCAAGATGGTATCCCAAATTCCTATGATATTTGGATAATGAAACTGTGGGTCTTACGGTGTGAAAGTGTTAGTCATGTGGTAAAGGTTCCATAAAGCATTTGATATTAGTACATTATATTGTGCTCTATGTGATAAAAATGTGGAGGTGCATGTTCTAGAATAATGCTTTGTGTAAATTGCAGCAAATCAAAAATTACGGAAATGAATGTTTTTGGAGTGCTTGAAGATTTTAATTAAGAGTCTGGGTTTATTTATTTATTTATTTTGGGGGGGGAGGGAGAGGGGGACCTGAACCCTTGACCTCAGGAAGACAAAACTTTCATAAGGTAAGGAATACCATTTGACCAAAGGCCCTCGTAAATCTGAGTTTATTTTTTGTCGAAAGTTTTCCAAGGCAAATTTTTATGGCTTATAGTTTAGGTTTGAATTTTATTTGAAATCTTTATAGGTGTTTATGTTTCACTGGCTGCACACTTGCTTAATCAATAAGTTATGTGTTATTGTTTTTTCTCCGTTCCATGAGATCAATAATTTTTGGAATTTCACTATTATTGGTTATATTTTTTTTTATTTTTTGAAAAAGTGGATGTATTAACTATTATTAGTTCTGACAAAATAAGTTAACTTATGTTCGGGAGTGTTTGTTTTTTGGAATTCCTTTATATTCTGTCTTATCGACTGACCTGTAATTGATAATCATAATTAATTTTTTCTGATAAATTTAAGCTTTGGTTTTGATTCTGCCATGTTATTTTTTCCTTGTTAGGTGCTATGTCATTCATTATTTCAAAATTGAGATTTCAAGTCATTGAACTATATCTGATTAAAAAAAGCACTTACCAATTTTATTATCAAGTTTGATCGGATATCTTCCTTTTTTTCTTCTTCTTCTTCTTCTTCTTTTTTTTACTTTTTTACTTTTAAGCTTGCCTCAAGTGTTTATGCGTATAACAACTGCAAACGAGATTGGTCATGGTAATTTTATAGAATTATATTAAAACCCTTCAACAACTTCCAAATAATTTCTAGACATGGTCGATCACAAGTATGCTCATTCATTTATTGTAAGCTTTGCATCAATTCTACATTTGACATGTTACCTTTCCACAAGATTTCTGCCAATTGTACTAAGTCCACTCCCTTGCATTAGGTCGGTCGGAGTTGGTCTAATGCTTCTGGAACAATTTGAATGGACTGATGTTATTTCATCTTATGCAAAGTTTAATTTTCAAAGTTACAGGTAAGGGTTTTTGGTAGTACGTTATGGTATAATTAGGAATAAACAAACTAGAGTTTGAGTAGATAAATATCTAAATCTATGCATTATGATATGTTACTTGGCTAAATTTTTGTTTTGATGGTTATACTATGAAAAAGTCTCTTTGCCGTCTACTTTTGGATGTTATTGATAGATGAGCCAACTCTGGAGTCTTTGTAGGTTACTTCTACTGGAGCATGCTCAGGATGCCTTCTTGCAGGACTGGAAGGTTCATGCAATTTTTTGAATCTAGGTACATTGGTGCTCGTTCTTTACTTCTTTCTTTGGAAGTTTAAATCCTATTCCTTTCCTTGAAATAATGATTCACCTTTAGGAGGAGCATTATCAAGGGAAAGAGGTCATTGCCATATTGGAGCTCGCTGCCATATTGGTGATATGATTTAACCAAACAATAACTATCACTCTAAGCACCACTTTTCGCTTTACATTAAGTAGAAAGAATTCTAATTTAATTGTATATTTATTTTCACTCACTTGCTTTAAATTCTTATCATGTCTGCATCATATGTCTATCTAAAACTTCTAGGATTTGATTTCTTACTCAGATTGATCCAAAACTTCTACTTCCTATCCTGCTTAGTTTCCACAAAAGTTGACACGTTGATTGAATGACTTGAGTGAGGGCAGCTATTGGGTATGTTATCCAATTACCAATGAATCCATTAGGACATTTGGATCTTATTCTAAAATCACAGCTTGACAGCCTTTCTTACTTTCGAGTTTCTATTTTATTTGTTTTTGCTAAATTTATCACTAACACTATGATTCAGTCATTATGATTTACTCATTCCTTTCTATTTAACGGGAGAAGCTCGGACCAATGAATGGGCAATAGAGTTGTAAGTTGTAACCATCAGGTGACAATCCACCAGAAAGTATGCCTGCAAGAGAAGAAATAATGGTACTTCTTCATAGTTAGAATGAACCAACTGTAACATAGTAAAGGTAAAGATTTGAAACAAGTGGGCATAAGAAGGTATCACTTAGAGTAGCAACGTGACGTTAAGCGAGCGGCGACAGTTGCAACAAAAGCCAAAGGTCTTATCTAATGGAACAAAATCCAACAATTTTCGTTTAATGAATTTTGTTGCGTAATAGATATAAATCATTGTTACTTATCCCAACAAAGGTTATTTTTACTTTTAAGATGTTATCATTTGTTTGATATCTTTATTGCCATGACTGACGATATATGAAACATTTGTAGCGCAACTCAAATGGTCTTCTCACTACACAAATGCTCTGATTTAAATGCAGTTGTTGACTTAATGAAAAGTTATTGTTGTTACGTCTACACCATAGGAAATGTTGAAAGTTCAAGATACATTGGCAACTTTATAAATTATTCATGGGCTGAAGATAAAAATAATGATTTACTATTAATTTTGACTCTTTTTTTTTGGCTTCATAAAAGTAGTACACTGTTTTTTACATCTAAAAAAAATAGAGTTTTCACATGTATTATCAAACAAGTTACATGGAAAAATCTCTTTGGAAAAAAATAATTTAGGACTTGTGTATACAATATTTCTCACTGAATATGGTGCACGTGCAACACACGTGTGCACCAACTAATATAAACAAATATCTATATAATAAAGTACAATATAATTTAAATTTTAAAAAATAAATAAAATAATTTTTATTTTTCACAGTTGAAATCTCTTTAAATTTTATTTTAAAGTTAATCCGATATTTAATATTAACCCCCAAATTATTACATTACCGAAAATTATTGCCTCCATTGCTCCCTCCCAAGTTGTCGCGCACTCTTGTACTAATACCAACTCGTATACACATTGCCGCATGAACAACCAAAACAACAACAAACAGATTCAAGAGATCTAAGTTGTCATAATATCCTCGAATGATTCATTGTACTCATAATTAATTCGTTATCATATCTAAAAATTAGCCCCAAATTCAAAACAATTGGAGGCCTAACAATCTCGGGGCACCTTAACTAGGACTTTGTTGATGTGCTTTTTCTTTTTCTTTGTGTTTTTGTTTTTTTATGTTAATTATGATTCGACATTTCAATATTGATGATTGGGTTTGATTTGTTTTGTGGTGGCAGTATCTCCCTTAAACTTATCTATGTTTGGCATGCAAACAATGTGTCAGGCAAGGGAAGAACTATGGGCGAAGGGTTAATTGATTTTGGTGTGAAATATTTTTAATTAGGAGTATTTCTGTGAAGTGTAACGTAAATTAATTGGTTAATTTAGAAAAGTGATGAGTAAAGATCAAAGAAAGAGACAATGAAAAGTAAGAAGATGAAAGTAAAATTTAATGTAAATGACTTTAAGAAGGATGTTAGTGACTGTTGAATGAGTTTATTTAAAACTATTGAATGAACTTATACAAATTTACCCAGTTTATATTTTATTATGGGTAGTCTGTGTCTGAAGTGACGGCACAATGTAGATCAATGTGAATGATTTTGAAAGTAATATTGACGATTGTTAGATAAATTTATTTGAAACCGTCGAATACACCTATCAAACTCATAGAGTTATGAGTTATATAGAGTTTGCGTACAATTTATGAGAATCTAACTCAAATTTGAATTGAATTGTGACGTGGGCTCTGATTTTAAACAAAATTTGTTTTCTTCATTGATTGGAATTTGTTTCGGTTTATGGAGGTATTGTGTGGGTGTAATTAAAGTCGGGAAAATTTAAAAAATAAAGAAGATAAGGATATTTAGAAGTATTTCGTTTAAAAATCTATATATCGTCATTATTTTTTGAACTTTTCAATTGGGGTGTGAATGAAACATTTATACGAACTAAAGATAATATAGGATTGTATTTAGAAATAAAGTAATTTGCAAGGATGTGGATGAAATTTTCCACATTCGTTTTTATTGCCTCTTCTTCTCCCTCCTCCCCGCGCTGTTTTTACTCCTATTTTTCAAAATTTCGCTCCATCTCGTCATAGAAAAGTAAGATATATGTATATATAGAGAGAGAGAGAGGGAGAGAGAGGGAGAGAGATGGTCGGAGGCAATAACACTTTTGGCAAGACGATATGTTCAATCTGCTACGAAGATCTCAAACCCCTCGTCGAAGACCTCCAATCTATCTCCATTTGCGGCCACGTCTTTCACGAGCTATGGTGAGTATCTTCATGTCTATATATCACTCTTCATGTATCGTTTTTTTCTGGAATGGTTATAATTTGAATGACGTATAACATATGTTTGCGAAACCCTAGTCTTCAACAATGGTTCGAGTACTGTACAAATGGGAAGAAGAAGAATTGTCCTGTGTGCAAGCAGACCTGTTCGGAGGTCAATGTGGGTCGCCTGTATTTTCAGTCAGTTGGTGATACGAATGATCCGAGTACTCTATCTCAGAAGCCGCGAGATTGTGAAGAAAATCCAGAAGAATTGAGGAGGGAGGTGAAGCGATTGGAGGGGAAGGTTTCGGGGCTCAGTTTGGCTTTGGAGAGTCAACAGAAAGAATTCAACGATGTCAGCGAGGAGGTAGTTGATTTCTTTATTATCTGTTTGGTTGCACAGACAATACGGGAAAAGGAAAGGAAATTAATATGAGAATGTTGAATCTTGATTGTCTTTATTAGGAATCAGAGGCATCGGACAGCTTTCCATTTGTTGAATTCTGTACTCGTTTATGAAAACTAAGAAAATCGATAGAACAAAAGAAAAAAAAATAGAACAACAAAAAAGGTTTTTAACATGCCAGTTTTATAAATTCCTTGGGATTCAGGTGGAGTATTGTGGGCCATTTGGTTGCTGAGAGAAAAGCTGGAGATTGGTTTCTTGCATTACTTCCATTTGGTTTATGGGGGAAGGCAAGAAAGGAAAGACATCTAATGTTATTTGGTACATTTAACCTTTTATTACTTAGTTCTCTAGGAAACATGCACTTCCAAAAATCTGTGCCTTATGCAACTACTTGGTTAAGTCGAGCGGACAATTACATTATTTGCAAACTAATGTGACCTAGAATTTGAGAAGATTTCCAATTTTGCTCGTTCTCTCAGAAAGTGAAAGGAGAATTTTTTTTCCCTCTGACAACTATTTAAGTGTGTTTGTTTTTTGTGCCTTGTGGTTGTGGTTAACAATCTTTGTTTTAGCTGTGTATTTGCAAGGAGCAGATCAAGAAAGAGGTTGCACTGAAGAATGAAGCTCAACAACACAAAGCAGCTGTCCAACAGCTGTTTCAATTGAAATCGCAGGTAATTAATAGCAAAAGTTGTATGTGCCTATCTACCCAACCACACGCTGGTGTCAATATACTCAATAAAAATATGTATGTATATTGTGGTTTGACTAGGCTGACAGAAATTCTCATTGAGGTTATTCAATTGTGTGATAGGAACTTGACAGGTCGGCTTTGGAGTGCAAGAGGCTGCAGGAGAAAACCATGATCTTAGCCAAAGAACTTGCGGCACTCAAGTTGTATGTGAACCTATATTGACGCCAAGTTTAACATTAAACATCCGGTTCTTTATTTGAGTTTTCACTGCTCCTGATTATGTGGCTTGCCATTCAGGGTCTCTGATTTGAACTTGGAAGAAGCAGAGATTTTGAAGCTTGCTTCTTTAGGTAATGAAGCTAACAAGAAGGAGACAGTAGACGTTTTGAAGAAGTCATTGGTCATCCGTAATAAGTAAGTTTTTAAATGTTTTTTCTCCTACGGATATTTGAAGGTATAGATGGCATTATAATCCTTGGCCTGAATGGTTGAAGCTGCTGTTTTCTTGTATATGTTGCTGTTGGGGCAAAATTGAAACATAAAAATTTCTTGGCTTCAGTTTGGATGATTCCCCTCTCCCAAAGAAAAGCACATGCCCAACCCCCCCTCCTAAATCTGAGGTGAAAAGAGACATAGGAAGTCGCATGTCCATGAATCAGGTCTCATATGTAAAATTCTATTGATAATGAAGAGGCATTGAGTTGGCATGTATAAAAGGCACTTGGTGGTGTGAACTGAGAATGTTTATTCTTTCAATTATAGGCATTGGACCGGTGTCTTGGGCTTAGTAGTAGCTTTAAGGCTGCTGTGGAGCTGAGCTAGGGTTTAAACTCCAGGCATTGGCATCTCGGCTTACGCTCGGCTGACGAATGATGCATTTACTCTACTTTTTATTTTTATCTTGGAAAAATAGCCAGGCATGTCATTTTGAATATACTACTGAGGAATTGCAATGGATTTGTGTACAGCTAGATCATTCATAAAGCATTTGGATGACATGGTCGGCAACCTGCAGGTTTTCTTGTAATTGAAATTAGGTTTTCTAGAAATAGAAAAAATGAAAAGGCAGACAATCTAAAAACTGGGTCAAATAAGATATAATAGGTTAGTCCATCCTTCATTGAGTAAGGAGTAATGACTCATGGGATACGCTCCACTTAAGAGTTTGATATAGGACAGGGTTTTTATACATGACATTCTGTTGCACTCAGAATCTGTGGTGCCCCCTTTCCCCATAGTTCTTGCCTTACTCTGTTGAGGACGATGGGCCAAAGGTTTGACATGATATTTTCGTGGTATTTAGCTGGAAGTTTGTGTAGTATAGATGTTAAGAAATAGATATCTGTTGTTTAGTATAGATACCATTTTGGGCAGAGATCTTAAACCAACAACAGTCCTCTAAGAAGAAGATAATAAAAAGGAAGAAGGCATAAAAAGTGATTTTCTTTTACCTTTGGAGTGATGCCATTGAAAAAATTTAAGAAAGGATTTTATTTATATTTATATCAGAAGGGCTGAATTCAGCACATCCTTTTGCCTCTGCCAAAATTTTAATGGGTTTGTGCTTATCTGGGGGTTGTTTGCTGTCGGCCAGATCATGTGTTTGTGAACTGTTTTTCTCCTCTTTTTTGGGTCCAACCATGCAAACTCTGAATCTGTATTTTTATTTTATTTTTGTCAACTTCTGTATTCTGTGGCGTGTGAATTGCTAAGAACTGTCTTATTTCTAATTAGCTTTTTGCTACTTATGTGATTTCCTGGATTCCTTTTGGTTGCACATAATTCTTGGCTGCGTGGTTCATAGGAATTACAAAGAATTGATGGCCAAGTGCAACATCCTAGGACGAGGAGAAGCCCGTTCTCTTAGTAAACTTGACAAGGCTAAAGAGAAGATAAAGAAGCTGAAAGTAAGTCAATCTTGAGTGCCACAAATGTTTCATTTATGGTTGAGTTATAAAAATTCTAATGTGCAGCCATTGTCAGACAAGGGTCCAAGAATTGGAGATAGCAGTTGAAGCAAAGGATAATGAAGTTTTGAGAGCTTTGAAATTTTCAAAGAAAGCCTCCAGTAAAATGGATAAATGTTCATTGGAAAATCAAATAAAGGAACCTGCTGAACAGAAGATTAGTTTGGACTGCACTGAAAGCATGCAAAATGATCCGTTTTGCCCTACGAAAAGGAAAAGGTTAAAACCTTCCAAGGATATAGGTTTAAATAATATTACACATGATAAAAGTCTTGGTGTCCTTGGCCAAGAGATGGGTTCTTACATTTTTATAGATGAGGATGCTTCAGGTATTTCTACATTCATTGAAGAGGATGTAGCCATCCAAAAATGTTATTCGTCAAGGCCAAGGCTAGCTTTTGATACAGAAAGTGAAGCTCAATTGCATGGAGAAAGTAACAAGGATGGTTTTTCAGACTCAAGGTGTGCTAGTAAGGGTGATATGGCCACTACTCCACTTGATGCTACAGATGAGGATGTGGAATTGCTTCATGATGACATTACACAATGTCCGCCCTTGCTCCGCATTAAAAGGGAGACTCCATTGCCAATCCCAGTTTCACAACCAGGTACTATTTTTTTTTTCTTTTGTGTAATTCAACTTGGCTTTGCTAGGTTGAAAGCAGACTGAGTTAGTGCTTTGCAGGATATTTCATGTTGGCTGTAGAATGCTTTCTTATTATATGGATCAACATAAGTTTGAAATCATGCAGAGTTTGATGCGTTAGTTTAGCTTGTTTTAGAAACTTGTACATTTAAGCAGCCATCCCTTTATGTTTATCTCTTTACCCATTTTTTTTTTTATATTCTAACTTGCAAAATCTCCAGTAGATCGCTGTTTTTCTGGTGGGTTGCTTGGTCCTGATGGAACTAATTGGCACTTGGGGAAATGGTGCAAGCGGGTTCAGAATAAGGGATCAACAGTCTCTTCTGTGGCAATGCAAGGATCAACTAGAAGTACTGGTGATTTAATTGCTATTGGAGCTGATGGTAAAGGTGGTAGAATTAAAGTTCTGAGATCTCTGAATCAGTCATCACGGGTGAGTCTTCATTCTGATTTCAATTAGCTTTTTTATGTGGTCTTTAACTGCATTTCAATATCTATGTTGGCAAGTTTGTCACTTTGTAATTACACTTTCTGAATCTATTGATTATGCCGGTGCAAGTAGTTCCAAATATGAGAGGAAATTGATGTATGTGTTACCCAAATCTTGTGTTTTTCATGAATTTAATTTTGGAACCGAAGCCAGTAGACTGGCTCTGAAACGCTCTGATGACTACTGCGTGAACTGTTCACATCATCTCAATTTTTGGAGCTAATGTTTGCTTTTTATTCTTCATGAGCAGAACAGCAAGGAGACTACAACATGGGTGAAAAGAGGCCAGTATGGAGCCAAAACAAATGCCTTGCAATCTCAAGGATGTTTGCAAATTGAACACTTCTTTGGAAAGGCCGGTCAATAATTAAATGTTCGAAGTGTGCCTGTTAATACATTTGATATCCATCACTATGACTCGAGAAATGAGTGAATTTTGTGCTTAATGTTCTAATGATTAATGCGAAAAAGAAGAAAGCAATAAAAACTCTTCCTTGTTCTCTAGCAAAGTTTATATTACACCTTTACAAGAGTGGTTCAAATTGCATAGTGTTCCTCTACTGTTAAGTTACTGGCTCTCTCACTGTCTAATGCGGTAAAATTGTTACATATTCACTACTCTCTCTGTCCTTGAGTCTAAATTGAACAGTCCAACATTGATGAGAGTTTTATCCAACTGATGGTTTGACTGATGCAATTTGCCACCTAATTTTCCGGGTGCCAGTCTAATGGTTTTGGCAGTATTGCTATATTTTATTGATTCTAGTGCCCTAGTGACTGATGATTTGGATCTGGTAATCTGAAAAACCATGTGCTTGTGTTATGGGATATCAAAGATTACTGAAAATAACTTATTTTATGTTCGAGGCAAAAATGGGCAATTGTTGTACTGTATTCATAAATACATATGTATACATCTGCGTGTGTATTAAATTGTGTTTTCTGCTCATCATCTTCTAATTCCATTGAATAAAAGCATCTCTTGTATTAAGGGCTACTTTCAAAAATGCTTAAATTCTGTTTCAGGCATTAATATAAGCTTGATAATCCTACATCTATCACGAGACATGTTCCATTGTATATGGCATCAGTATCGTAACACAATTTTAGCTACCTTCACGCTTAGATCTAATATGATTATGTTGTCATCTTAGGAGGAAAACTACACTTTTAAACAGTTTACTTGGGCTGGTACTTAGAGAAACTGATTCAAATTTGAGGGTAAATCCC